GTTTCCGCCGCCTCGACGATCTTTTTCGTCGTCGCTTTGGCCCGGCCCCGGACCTCCCTGACTGGCACAGCCTGCTCCGCCAGGGCGTGCCGATCTTTGAGTTAGACATGGATCAGATAGGTGCTGCTTTGCATGCTTTGTATGCTGACGCTTCTAGTGTTGATGGATCTTACTACCCTGTGTACTCTAGTTTAGGTGTTTCACCCTTGTGTAGCTTAGCTTCCCCTGCTGCGACAGGCGTAGGACTGCCTAGGTTGCCTAGTCTAGTCGCTGCACCGGCTCCGTCCCCGGCCCCCGCCACTGCGTCGCTGTCCTTCACTCTCGACTCTGGTGCTTCTGCCTGCTTCTTCCGCGACCGTTCCACGCTCACGCCGCTTGCTGCACCTGCTGTTGTCTCTCTCGCTGACCCCTCTGCGGGTCCGGTCGTCGCGCGCAGTTCTACGTCCCTTCCCTGTCCGGCAGTTCCCTCGGGCTCCCTTACTGGCCTCCACGTTCCCTCGTTCTCCAGGAACCTGGTTGGTGTCGGCTGTCTCCAGGACCTCGGCGTCACCACCACGTTCCCCGGGCACGAGCGGTTCGCTGTCTGTTCTGAGGCTGTCTCAGGTTCCCCCCTTGCGACGTTCCCCCGGGACCCGGTGTCCGGTCTGTTTACCCTACACACCACTTCCCCCCCGGTTGGTGCGTCCTCCCAGGTCGCTGCAGCTTGCTCGTGTCGGTCCCTCACTCACCCCTCCCTTCTCTGGCACCACCGCTTAGGTCACCCTGCTCTCCCGCGTCTGCGTCACATGTCCCAGCACGGTCTTGTCTTAGGTCTCCCCGCGTCGCTCCCTGCCCTTCCTCCCTCGACTGCGCCACCGTGCACGCCTTGCGTCGAGGGTCGGCTCCGCCGTGCTCCTCACTCCTCCTCGCTGCGTCCTGCTACTGCCCCCCTTCAGACCCTGCACTTGGACGTTTGGGGCCCTGCCCCCGTCCCCGGACCGCGCGGTGAGCGCTACTTCCTTGTGCTTGTCGACGACTACACGCGCTACACCACGGTGTTTCCCCTGGAGCGGAAGGCCGACGTGCCCGACGTTCTTCTCCCGTGGGTTGTGGCTGCGCGTCTCCACCGCGGTCTCCCCGTGTTGTGTCTCCACTCCGACCGTGGCGGCGAGTTCGCCTCTGGTCGGCTTGGACAGTTCTGTCGTGCGGAGGGCATCACCCAGTCGTACACGTTGCCGGACTCGCCACAGCAGAATGGGGTTGCTGAGCGCCGCATCGGCTTGGTCATGGAGGTCGCCCGTACCTCCATGATCCATGCCGATGCCCCCCATTTTCTGTGGCCGTTCGCTGTTCGCTACGCGGCTCACCAGCTTAACCTGTGGCCACGCTCCCAGCGGCCGCAGGTTTCGCCGACCCTCCTTTGGACCGGGTCCCCCGGTGACGCGTCTGCGTTCCACGTCTGGGGCTGCCTTGCTCACGTTCGTGCCTCTGGCACGGACAAGCTCACTGCCCGTACTGTCCCCTGTGTCTTCCTCGGTTTCCCCCTGGACTCGTCTGACTTGCTTTTCTACCACCCGCCGTCTCACCGCTTCCTCCACTCTCGTGACGTCACCTTTGATGAGTCCGTCTCCTTCTACCGCCGCTTCCCTCACCGAGGTCTCCCAGTTGCCCCCCCCCTTTTCCTTGCTCCCTCTCCCCCGGTAGCCCCTGCCCCTCTCCCGCCTCGTCCTGCCCCGTCTGGTGTCTCCCACGTCACTCCCCTCCCGTCGGTTGTCCCCGTTGAGGAGTCCGCTGACTCTGGTGGTACCCCCGGTCCGTCCTTGCCGCGTCCCCCTTCTCCGGTGCCTCCGCCCCCACTGTCGCAGTCGCCGACCCCGCTGCCGCCGCCGTCGCCGTCGCCGCCGCAGCCGTCGCCGCTTTCGTCGCCGCCGCCGCCGCTGTCGCTGCCGCAGCCGTCGCCGCTGTCGCCGCCGCCGCAGCCGTTGCCGCCACTGCCGCCGCTGCTCTCGGCCCCTGGGGGTGCTGGTGTGGAGGAGGGTGTTCGTCCTGCGGCTTCTGGGGGTGCCGCTGGTGTTGGAGGGGGTTCTCGCTCTGGGGGTGTTGGTTCTGGGGGTGCTGCTGTTGAGTGTTCTGCCGACGGTCGTTCTGCCTCTGCTGGTCCGAGAGTTCCGGCCCAGCCGTCGTCGCCGCCGCAGCAGCCGTCGCCGCCGCAGCAGCCGTCGCCGCCGGTTTCCGCTCTCCGCCTGCTCGGCCTTCCCTCCCCGGACCGCGCGCCGGTGTCTCCCCCACCGCCTCCTGACCTCCCTGTCTACGGTCCTGTGTTCCCGCCGCCAGACTCGTCTCCGGCCCGTCTTCCTCCTCGTTCCCCTCCTGTGTCTCCTCCGCTGTCCCCTGACCCTACCCCTCCGTCTCACGTTTGGGCTCGCCGTCCCTCCCGTGCTCGTCCCGTCTCTCCTGTCCTGCCCACCCACCCTATGTTGCTCCGTTCCCACTCGTCTCGTCCTCCCCTCCTCCCGTCCCCTCCTCCCTCGTCCCTTGCTGTTGCACCTCCTCCGTTCTCTGACTACCTCCGTGCTGCTCGTCCCCTTGTCCCTCGGGTCCTTGCCTCTCTTGTTACCGACCCTGCTGTTCCTGTCTCGCGCCTTGACGCGCTTGTCGCTGCTGTCGCTGACTTCGCTTCTACCCGCCGCCTTGACTACGCTACCGCTCTGGTCTCTGACCCTGCCCGTCCTCTGTCCGTCGGGGGTGCTCCTGCCCTTGGCAGTGACGTCCTAGAGGACAGGCAGTACGAGCTGGCTTTCCTTTCCGAGGCTGCTCCCCATCTCTGCTCCATGCTGTTAGTCCCTGAGGGTGACCCAGACGCCTTCGACATCCCGACCCCTCGCACCTACGCTGAGGCCACCTCGGGACCTTGGGCCTCTCAGTGGATAGCTGCCATGGAGCAGGAGATGGCATCTTGGAGATCCACCGGCACTTACGTCGACGCAGTTCCCCCGCCTGGGGTGAACGTAGTCGATGGTCGGTGGCTCTTCAAGGTGAAGCGCCCCCCTGGAGAGCCGCCTGTCTTCAAGGCGCGCTACGTGGCCAGAGGTTTCAGTCAGCGCGAGGGGGTTGACTTCTTCCAGACCTTCGCCCCGACCCCGAAGATGACCACTCTTCGGGCGCTGCTACACGTAGCAGCACAGCGTGACTACGAGCTTCACTCCCTCGACTTCTCTACTGCCTTTCTTCAGGGCAGCCTACACGAGCAGGTCTACCTGCGCCGACCACAGGGCTTCACTGGTACCTTCCCTCCTGGGACCCAGTGGCTTCTCAGGCGCCCGGTCTACGGCCTGCGTCAGGCTCCCCGCGAGTGGCACGACACGCTACGTGCCACGTTAGCAGACCTGCAGTTCTTTCCGTCCTCTGCTGACCCTTCACTGTTTGTGCGTTCCGGCCAGACTCCGTTCTACATCCTTGTCTACGTAGACGACCTGGTCTTCGCTACTCCTGACAGGGACGCACTGGCCTCTGTGAAGGCTGAGCTGCTGAAGAGACACACCTGCACTGACCTTGGAGAGCTGCGTCGCTATCTTGGCCTGCAGATCTCTAGGGACAGAGCAGCACGCACCATCACTCTGACCCAGTCACACTTGGTGCGTCAGGTCCTTCAGAGGTTCGGTCTTCAGTTCTCCTCCGCACAGCCCACACCTCTACCCGTAGACCATGGGCTCTCTGCTCCCGTTCCTGAGGAGCCAGTAGAGCCCAGTGGCCCCTACGCAGAGCTGGTGGGTTGCCTCATGTACCTGATGACTTGCACTCGCCCAGATCTCGCATACCCTCTCAGCATCCTGGCTCGCTTTGTGGCTACAGGCAGACACCGACCTCAGCACTGGTCTGCCGCTAAGAGGGTTTTGCGTTATCTTGCTAGTACATCAGGCATGGGGTTAGTGCTAGGAGGACGCAGGCCAGTGGTCCTTACTGGGCACACAGACGCTTCTTGGGCAGACGACGCTGAGACGCTCAGGTCGTCGCAGGGCTACTGTTTCAGCCTTGGTTCGGGTGCTATCTCTTGGAGATCCACTCGCTCGTCGTCTGTGGCTCAGTCTAGCTGTGAGGCTGAGATCTACGCTGGTGCCATGGCGGCACAGGAGCTCCGCTGGCTGACCTTCTTGCTCACAGACTTAGGTGAGCGGCCTAGCTCTGCCCCGGTCCTGTACGCTGACAACAGGGCCATGATACTCCTGTGTCAGGAGCCTCGGCTTGAGGGCAGAGCGAAGCATATCCAGCTGCGGTACTTCCTCCTGCGCGAGCTACAGCAGCGCCGCCAGGCCCGCGTAGTTCACTTGGCCTCAGGTGCCAACACAGCTGATATCTTTACTAAGGCGCTTGCGCCTAAAGATCATCAGCGGCACTGTGTACAGCTTGGTCTTGTTCCTATAGCTGCTCCCCTGTTAGGATCCTGATTGTGTACTCTCTATTATATATGCTTGTCAGACTGGCCTTGTGGCCTTACCTCCAGTGGCTGGACTAGTAGTGCCACCCTGGCTTGCTTCAGTTTTGGTTGTATTCTTGCTGACTGGTCTCCAGACCCCTGCCTCAGTGGTTGGACTAGTAGTGCCGCCCTGAGCTGTTTGCTTCTTGTTTAGTTTCACCCCTTGTCTAGCCTAGGGGGTGTGTCAACTTATACATATTATCTATGTAGAAGTTATAGGCTAGACTGAGGTATGCTTCTAGTGAGTACAACCAACTAGTATTTGTTCTAGGTTTCCACCTCTAGTAATCATTCGTTTCTACGTTAACACCTGATGAGTCAGGCTCACTTTTTTTTTGTCTGACAAAACATGCCATGTCTAACATAATGTGCTAGGTCAAAATCCTACCCACCCTAAAAAATGTCAAGGTTCAACCTATCATCTCAGCTCTGAAAAAATTCAGTCCTGATTTTTCAGCCTTTAAAAATTTTTACCCTGAAAAAAATTGCAGCTTCCAAATCCCGACCCTGATAAATGGGGGCTCCTTCTGGGAGCACCCTGAGCCGACAGCCCCTCAAAATCCAATCTGAAGCCCTGTGTTACACACAAATCACCAATAAAAACTATGTACACAAAGCTGTTACACACAACACAGTGAACATAATTGTCACATTGTAGAATCAGCATCGTTCAGGGTAGCCACGAAGTCTCCACCCCACACAAAATGTTACAACCGCAGAGAGAGGTCCAGAGCCTTGTTCTTCCTGGAATTCTGGCCCTCATCTGGTGCGATAAAACTAGAAACGCGGTCCTTGCTGTTGTTCCGGGCCACAGGAGGGGACGAATGGCCACAACCATGAGTGAGAGGAGCCGGCACACACCAACGCTCTTCCTGGGTAGAGCTCTGTCGGATTGGCTCAGGGACAGGCGACAATGCTGCTGCAAAGGCTGTTGCCGCCATGGGCACACCCACAGAATGGTTCTGGGTTACCACAATGGATCCATGGTTCATGGAGTCCATTGAGACATTGTGATGAGCTGCGCTGCTCTGCCGCATCTCCTGCTGTGTTTGTGGATGGCAGCTGTTGTCTCTTTGTGACCTTGTAAGCAGCTCAGTAACAGGTTCCATTGACCACTGCCGCTGTTGCTGCTGCTGTTGGTGTAGCTCCTGCTGATGTTGCTGCTGGTGTTGCGGGTTCTGCTGCTGCTGCTGCTGCTGTTGCTGCGCGGCAGAGAGTTGCTGCAGCAGCTGCAAACGAGCAGCAGTGGCGGCAGCCACGGCAGCAGCAGCCGAGTCGGAGTGCAACCGCCTCAGGAGAGCAGAGGCTGCATCAGTAGCCTTAACGGAGGGCGGGGGAGGGAAGGATGGGTTGAGCAGGGACGAGAGGTCCGGGGAGAGAGCGAGGAAGGCGCGGAGGGCAGGGGACGCCGAGCTAGACGCCGCATACGACGCCAGCAGCTCAGACGCCGACGCTCCTGCTGGCTTGCTTGCCGCTCCTGCTGATGCGAAGACACCCCCTCCCGTTGCTGCTGACGCGGCTCCCGTTGCTGCTGGCGCATCTGCCGACAGACCGCCTCTAGCTACTGCCAACGCCGACTTCAGCGTGGAATTTAGGCCTCCATGCACCGATGAATCCCCGCCGTTCGCACTCTCGTTCGCAGCGTCGCATCTCGCCAGATGCGCACCTCCGCCGGCCTTAGACTGATCGTCCCTCACCCACTCCTCCCGCTCCTCCTTTACGCTCCCCGCCCTCGCCGCCGGCTTTCGCGGCAGGTTTTGCGGGGCAGCTGCCGCGACGGACAGGCTGGTGCCGCTCGACGCGGGAAGCGCGGCGGGGCGGACTCTCCTCCTGTTGTTCACGCCGCTGTCGCCGCCGCTCATCACGCTACCGCTGACCGCACTGACGCTGGTGGTCCTCCCGCTAGCAGTGGCGGCGAGGCGGTTCTTCTGGCGGCAGGGGACGGAGAAGTAAATGCACATCCAGGAACAGCATGGCGGGGGGAGGTCTAACGACAGGTCTCCCCGCGCCGATTTCTGAATATCCTTCGCAATGTTCGCGGAGGAGAATTTGGTTGGGACGGGTGGCGGTGGGTTGGATCGGCCAGGTCGTGTAACGGTGGGGTTTCTATCGCGGATATTGCCTGTGCAGGCCGTGCTGCTGCTGAGGCTGGGAAGTTGATGCGACAGACTTTCGCACCGAGGCCTCTTCGCGGACCGGTCGTCCGCTTCCGCGGGGTCTCCCTGCTTCTCCGCAAATAGCGAACGCTGATGCGAAATCGGGTTACCTGATGGTCGGCGAACAGCTGTAACAGTGTGTCTGTGGGGATCGTTACTCGTGAGGGACGAGCCTGGCAGAGGACTCTTGGAAAGCCCTGCTGTTCCTGGCGGCGGCATCATCGCGTTGGACCATTCGGCTACGGACGCAGCTATCGAGGACGTCAATAACGAGGATCGGCCGGCCGACGGCTGCTGCTTCTGTGGCGAGAGAACGCGAGACTGGATTGTGGAGGAGAAGACTATTGAGTAGTCGGCACACGACCCGGCACGCGCTGGCTCAGCGCTATGATGTGACTGGTCGCCGTGACAATACTGGGGATTCGCAGCGGTGGTCTGTGGAACGGCGGGAGCAGATTCAGGGACCGTTGAGGCACAGGGTTTGCTGGATGAAGGATCAGAGCAGGGTCGAAAGAAATCGACCGTTTCGAGGCGGCACGCCCGGTCTTTTTGCTGCTCCGTTATGGTAGCATGGGAGGTCGGCGGAGACGGCACGAGAGACAGAGAAAGGGTTTGGTCTCCATTGCCTGACTGCATGGACCCGCCGACGTGGAAAGAACAGCCACTGGCAGTGCTTCTGGAAAGCGCAGGTCGAAAGTACGAGGGAAGCGAGGCAGGGGTATCTAAACCTCCGCACATTTCTAAAGCTGGTGCTGAAGCAAAGGAGTAGCGAAGCGAGAGGTACACAACACAGGGTTTAGAACGATGAACCGAACCGAAGAGAAGGAGAGAAGACGGAAGAAGAGAATTGTTGCGGAGATTAGGGCTGGATGCAGACGGGCACTGTTGTGGCTGGATGCAGACGGGCACTGTTGTTGGACCGCCTGGGTTGTGCGGTGCGCTGGTGCCCAAGAGAGGAGTGAGGTGAGGGCCACTCCTCTCTTGAGCGTGCTGTTGAAAGCAGCAAAGAATCCTGGCAAGCTGTTTGATGTGGGTCGAGGAAATCGCGAGCGCAGAGGAAGCGGACGAGGATGACTGGTGGTTGGAGGGGGAGGGGAGGGGAGGCGGCTGTGGCTCGGGCAGGCAGCATGCCTGCCTGCCAGTTTGCGCTGCTTGGCGCGGCTGTTGCTCCCCGTGCGCACGCGTCCGGCTGTGCTTCGCTGGGCTTGGGGAAATAATGGGGGGTGTGGTGGGAAGGGGGGGGGAGCGGTGTGTGTGTGTGTGTCTGGTCTGGTGGAGTGAGGTCCGCGCTGAACAGTTCCTTCCAGGAGTTCCCCTCCCCTCAAGGAGCAATCGCGACAGAGGATCTTGAGGAATGGAAGAGAGTGGCACGGCGCAGCTTGGTGTGGAAGATTTGGCAGAGTGTAGGCCGTGCAGCACGGCTGCGGAGGCTGGCTGGATGAAGATTGGATATGAAGGCAAGTTTCAAAGGCGACAAGTGCAACAAGACGGACGCGTTTGGCGGATTGTGTGCACGCCGATGGGCACCTCAACAAAGAGACAAGATCCGTATTGCAAGCCTTCAGCGAGAATATTTGATTGGATACGCCTTGGAGGACATCGTCGTTGCTACTGACGTCGACAGATCCGACTGGCAACTCACGAATGGTGAAACATACTTTCCCCTACAATATCTCACATTCTGGGTAACCTTTAAGGCGTACACATTTGAAGTAAATTATTTACTCATTTTCGTGACGAACTTGTGAAAAAACTAATGCTGACAAGTCGCCCCGCAATTCAAAAGCTGCTTTTCCGAACCCTCCGAACTCGAGGGACCAAGGTTGGCATTTTCTCGATATCGAGCAAGGTTAGACGATAAAAATCTCCATCATAGAGACCGAGAAGAAATCCGCCTCGGGCAGCAATTTCGGAGTTCCCTTCCTGGAGCAGAAGTGGCAGTGCACATTCACATTACAGAACACATGCCTCGAAGTTGCGTCGTGCCCCCAGTAATTTTTATTGGATCTTCATCGCATCGGAGCTGGAACTGGGAAAATGTCGATTCCACAAGATATCAACAGCAAGCTCTTGAATCTCATCGACATCGGATCGTGAAAGATGGTCCTCCCTCACAACCCAACGCATTCCATAGGTCCGTCACCGTCAGTCTGTTGAGATCTCAACTGGGACAATCGTATCAAATGGCTGCCAACAAGGCATTCGCTGAATGGTGGGAGGGTGAACTGTCGAACCAACATCGGCAACAGATATGTTCTCCAGTCAACCTTTCCTTCACATTGATGAAGCAGCCACAGCATTACTCTACAGAAATTATCTTTCGAAATCTATATTCAGCTCTATCAAAACTAATCTAACAAACCAAGAGATGTCAATGTTTGTTCTTCGGAGACCTACTGGCCTTCTCATCAATTCCAGACATGGAAAACCTGTTGCGTAGATGACCCACCACGTCTTCCATCTTGACACCCTGGTAAACATAAAAGCACATAGTAATGAGCATGAACCAATGAAAGGATCGCATAAAGCCCTCAAATGCTTCACACACCTTGACTGCAAGCAAAACCATGGAATGGTAAAGAACGTCGGCCATTTCAGAAGCTGCTCGTTCACTCGTCTCATTCCCTTCCAAGGTTTGGCACAACTCATCAGCCTCCTCCCTGGTATCGGACACAAGATCACACAATGGGAAAGCCATGTAAGTAAAAACTATTAACAGAATGTGCTTCAAAGGTAGTACCACAACAACGAAAAAGAGAGGAGCACACCTGATTTTGGAGCAAAGCAGTGAGTGATTTGAAAGCAAGCGCGCCGTCCAGGATGGTTTCACCGGTGCTTCCCCTGTCTTCTCCTGCTCCTCCTGCTGCTGCTCCATCTGCTTCTTCCGGGCCGCAATGATCCCCTCTAGCTGGAAGAGAGTGCTCTGAGCACAGGCAACATCCTCGCCAGAAGCAGACTCGCACTTCGCATGTGGATCGGAAGATGCATCAATCTTTGTGAAGAAGCAAGTGTCGGTGCCAGTATGGCATGTGGGGCCGTCAGGAATGCCACGATAAATTATCTGCAGGGACAGGAAACGTGAGACGCCATTGGTCCATTGGACGTACCACCAGGCATGAGAGGAAGGCAGACCCGAACGAAATGCACAAGCAATACAGAGGAACCTCCTGCATGGTCTGCACTGGAAAAGTGCACGTGTGCTTAGATGATTCAGCTCGCCGTGTCTCCATCGCAGTCAATGGACATGTCCATAGTCCAGCATGTTGATGAGGTGTGGGGAGGACTAGGTTTGATTTGCAGTTAGTGTCAAGCTCACGAGTCACAACTCACCGTGTCTCTATCGCAGTCAATGTACATGTCGAGAACATTGATGAAGTGCCCTGAGGTCTCCCCCTTGGTCCACAGGCACTTCCTGGAGCGGCTGAAGAAGGTGGCGCGGTCAGACGCCAGCGTGGCCGACACCGCGTCGCGATCCGCAAAGCCCTGTAGGGGTGACACGTGGCAACGTGGCATTGGATGTCAGGAAGTGACATGCAGCTATCGTGACCACTATTGTACTCAGGGATAATGCAACAGGACATGTGCATTCTGCAAGAATGGCACCCTGGAACAAGGGAGAGAAAGGTATGCACTCAGTCGACTGATTCGGGCGCTTTTGGGCAGAATTCAGGAATGTGAGAGGCTAGCACTGAGACGGAGACACCTGCATGAGAATGGTGCAGATGCATAAGAATGAACCACCTGCATGAGGATGGCGCCTGTGTCGGCGTGCTGGGCGATGGCCACCACGAGCCCCTTCTCATCCCACTTGATGCTGTCCAGCAGGGCCTCCACCTGCCATTCACGTGCCATACATGGCATCAATGTGTCACACATGGCATCAATGTGTCACACATGGCATCAATGTGTCACATGTGTCACACATGCCATCAATGTTTCACACATGCCATCAATGTGTCACACATGGCATCAATGTGTCACACATGCCATCAATGTGCCACACATGGCATCAATGCACCATACCATGCCATCAATATACCACAGCATGCAGTCGAAGCATCCCACACACCACGCCAAGCCATTGCATTGCAATTCACAGGGAAGAGTCATACCATGCAAGGGCACAGTTTGCTAAGCTGCAGAACAATGGTCAATGGACAGGACGCGCTATATTTATGATATTTGATGCGACTGGACAATCCTCTATTTGCAGTGTAGATGGTGCTTCTTGTGGGTAAGGATTGGACGGAGTCGTCACCTTACCTCAGGTGTGGAGACGGGTTCGGCACGGTGCAGAGCAGCTGTGGCTTGAGCGATGGTGACTTGCTGGCGATGTGGCATGGCTGACGTCATCACGTGCTGAGCAATGGGATTCGGGGTATGAATGGGGAGTTGTGGGGGGGGATGGGGGGGTGGAGGGGAGCGACATAAGTTACTGGGGTCACTGGAGGTGGAGGGACCTGATGCATTGACACTCGCACAAACAGCATTGTGGCATGGTGTCATAATTGCTACGAGATCATGAGAGACGGCAAACCTGACGGAAATCGTGCAAGCATCTCAGGCACAGGGCACGGCTCGTTGCAGGCACAGCTCGTTCGGAGCATGTTCAGGCACAGCGTGATGCTCCGTGCATGTCAGGCACAATGTGATGCTCCGTGCATGTCAGGCGCAATGTGATGCTCCGTGCATGTCAGGCACAACGCGATGCTCCGTGAGTGTCAGGCACAATGCGATGCTCCGAGCATGTGAGCCACAATGCGATGCTCCGTGCATGTCAGGCACAATGTGATGCTCCGTGCATGTCAGGCGCAATGTGATGCTCGGCGCATGTGTGTGGAGGCTGGAACATCAGCCTCGACGCATGTCTGCTACTATCGCTGGTCATCACACTTCTCGCGAGGGGATGCGAACCACGTACATAGGTTAGGTCACCTCGCCTGTCCCTAAGCCGCGACACGTCCGGCGCCGCGAGTGCAAGGCGGTGTGCGGTACGAAGAGCCGCACGACGCGCGGTTGTCAACTGAAGGACGAGCGAGGATGGAAGGGAGGGAGACAGGAGCAGGCAGCGAATCGAGACGGGGAGACATCGGAGAGTGTTAAGTGAGAGGTTAAAGACGAGGACTAGGAGGATCAAGACGGATCATATGAAATTAGGTTTCCCGTCCTCCGCGTAGTCCGTCTAATGCTTCCGAATCGGGATTCCCGGAGCTCACAGGAGTGGCAGGTGCAAGGCGAGCCGCCATTGCCATCGACATCGTCGCAGAGCCTGCTGGGGCCGCTGCGATCAGACCCTCGCGTCGCCAAACGTTCGTCGCAAGGCTTCTCCTATCCGAGCGACGATAGGATTGCAAGTACGAACCCGCCTGGCGGTTCGGGAAAGGGTATGGTGCGGAGAGACAGACGCCTATCCGCTGCAACAACTATTGCACGCCTTTTTTTTTGGAGGCTTTACCAGGTAGGAGCGTGGGACAAAGCCCAAGGCTGGCAGAGACAGGCCGAGGATGATGGAGTCCCCGTTGTAAACGGTACAAAATCTCGTCATCAGTTAACAATATCAAACCAACGTCGATTTGTTAATGCCCCCACGATAGCACTTTTATTTATATGATACAAAAACATACTATATACTATATACACCATTACATCATTAAAGGCAAAAATGGGGCACACGTGGTGTATATTGGGAAATGTCTTCCCATTCTTCCCTCTACAAATGCCTATCGGACTACCATATCAGAACTCCTAACCACACCCCCCCCCATATGTACAATCCACCCTGACTCCCTTCCCCACCCTCCCATCTTCATGCCAACAGCATCAATCATGAAGCCATTGCGGTCAAGGGTGGGTGGAAGAAGGGCTTCTCCTCGTGCATCCGCACCACCACCACCGGGCAATCACCTGTGACGTAGTCACACGCATTCACCGCACAGCTAATGCCTGTCAGCATATGTTGTAAAGAAGAGCTGCGAAAACGCAGCAAGCAAAGAGCAACGGTCAATGGTACACAGGCCCCAGAAGGAGAGATGAATGGCTTAGAAGGCTTCAGTTTTGCCACGTGCAATGCTGCGATGAAGTATGGAAGGCTCACAGTGGTGCACACAGTAGTCGCTGACGCTGCCCAATCGCGACTTCCTCGTTCGCCCATGCGCTCCAAAGCCCCGGCTGCCCATGATGCACGCACTCACCCCCAAACGCTCCACCTGGCAGCGGCACGAGTGATGGAGGGCAAGGAAAGAAGGGAAAGAGTTGAGAGAGAAGTAAAACACGAGGTTTCCGTTTAAGCCACGCATTGAAGTTCATGACCGTGTTGCTCCAAGGACACTGCTGCCAATAGGGACAAGCCCTCGTTCCCAATCGCCCTACCTGGCACAGGCATGGGTCATGAAGTGTTCTATGTGTAGAGAAACGAAAGGCCAGGCATGCATCACATCAGATGCAGCCCTGCCGGGTATACAGGGGAGTGCATGAGGAGGAGGAATAGAAAGCTGAACCGTGACACAAGGTGGAGGAGCACGTGAGAGTCTGTCTGTGACCATTCCGTGCCACCCAGAGCCCTGCCCGGCAACACCATGTGCGTCTTAATCCAATGTCATTAAGAGCTGTTTATGCAAGCTTGCTTGTCATAACCAATCTGGCTCTCTCGCTGGCCTCGCGCATTGCATATCTGCATAATCTTCATCACCTTGGGAGCAGAAAAGCCCAACGTTCACTGCAGCCCACTGCTAACACCCCAACGCTGACTACTTCCCCACCTTACCGGCAAATCCACGATGCCACGGTCCTTCACGATGCCGTTCGAATTAGCGCAGCGCTCCCCCTGCAACCGCCATTCCCTGTACTGCTCGCCACAGCTTGCTGCGCTCCAAACCCATCAGTAGCTTCACACCTCGCAGTCTTTCGCGATGTGCACGCACGCCCCTTACTGCTGACGTCAGCTCACTCCTCCCCCAATCCAGTCAGAATCCAACCCCACTGCGCCGGTTCACCACACGCACCTCCAAGCAGAGCCTCTCCTTCATGTCGTGGTGTCTTGCGGTGTGCACATCCCACAACCCGTCCACCCCCACTACTGCTCACATCGCCTGACTCCCCTCCCAAATCCATCAGTGCCTTCCCCGCCTCGCCGGCTCGTCACACGCACCTCCAGGCACAGGCGCTCCTTCATGTCGTGGCCCTTCACGATGTGCACGCGGAGTGGAATCCCCGCCGCCGCCTTCGATTGCCCACCTCAGATACCCCTCAGTCAGTCCATAGACCGCTCACCTCGGCTCGTCGCACGCACCTCGAGGCACAGGCGCTCCTTCATGTCGTGGTCCTTCGCAATGTGCGCGCTCCGCAACCAAACCACCCCCATATCAGCTGACTCCCCTCCCAACCTTATCAGTACCTTCCCCGCCTCGCCGGGTCGTCGCACGCACCTCGAGGCACAGCCGCTCCTTCATGTCGTGGTCCTTCACGATGTGCACGCGGAACGGGATCCCCGCCGCCTTCAGCGGCTCCGCCAGCTCGCGCGCCTTGGCCAGCGTGAGCGCGTCGAACTCCTCCTCCACGTGCTCCTTGATCTCGCGGTCCGCCGCCTTCGCCGCGTCCGTCGACTCCCACGCGCCCCAGTCCGCGCCGTACAGCAGACTCGTGGGCCGCACGTGCAGAATGATCACCTGGCGAGACGCAGAAGGTATGTGCGGAAGGATTGTCGCGAGACTGGGAAGAACTGAGAAGCCGCGAATGACGCGAGGAAAAAGCATGGCTCAAAGAATTTGAAAGCGCATGTGGTTCTCGTGCAAAGGGGACTGATTGATGTTCGAAGACCAGCAGTAATAGCTGCGCTGGATGTACTCCAGCCAGAATCGAGTCCAAGAAAGACGCCGAGGAGGCAAACCGGACTTGATGAAAGAATGATCCAAACAAGGTAGCCGATTCTTACATGGTCCGACGGACGCAGATAGTTCTGCACCGCCCATCGTACGGCATGGGCACTTTCGTCGCTCAGATCGATGGCTATCGCTATCTTGCGAGGTGGGTACTCCATTTGACGCTGACTGCTCGTCGTCTCTAGCGCGTTTCAGAATCTTATGTCCGCCTGAAAAGCAACCAGTTTCTCTGCTCCTTTACTGCACGACAAATGGTTGAAACCCGAGATAGATGGCTGCGTTTGAGTCGATCACTGGCTGAAATCTCTGGCGAAATAACTGAGACAAGAATTCTGGTGTTGGAAAGCAAGAACATGAAATGGCGCAGATACCTCTTGGGGTTGCGAATATACCTATTTCGAAGGGCCATTGTTTGGGGCTGGCCGTTGGAGCAGTTGATTCTGGCACGAAGGGATTCGCATCGCAGAGGAAGCAGCCAGAGCAGACAGCGCAGGATGGAATGTTCGAAGCGATCCCATGTGCTGCATGCGTGGCGCTGACAAGGTGGAGGAGGCAGAGCACTGGGTGCTGATTGGCTAGACGGGGGGCTCAATTTGTTTCTGGCGCGTGCTAGCCCCAAGTTCCTCTGCTGTGAATGGAGCAGGTTGCGTTTCTGAGGGTGTTACACGTCATTATGCTTGGAAGTGACGCTGGGGCACATCGAATGCACAAGTGGAGTGTGCCAGCGCTGCCGTGGAAGTTGATGCCAGCTTCTGAGGCACCCACACATACATAAATTTTTAGACAGCGTGAGTGTTTTGAAGGGTTTCTAGAAATCGGTTTGTAATTATCGAGTCACACTTGTGGTGAGCCCAACTGCTGATTGCGGTGATGCCCACCAGTTGCGAGGAGTGAGCAAGCGAACGTCGCAATCATCGCTGGTGACCTCACAAGCCCCAGCTGGAAGGTCTGGCAGCGAAGGCCTGGCAGATAGCCGAACGTCGCTTCCAAACCTAGAGGCGGTTTCTCGTCAGATTCTGTGCCAGCTGGATTTCTGTGTTGCCAAACCCAGACCAGCCTTGCCTCACCCGCAGAAGCAGAGGGAGGCTGGGCCCGCACCGCTGGCTAGCGCGCCGGTTTTCGGCGGGACCCATCAGCGTCCCGTACCGAACCAGCTTGCCGCGTGCGACTGTGACGTGGGTTCAGGTTTGTCATGGCCTGCCTGGAGACCCCGCCCACAACCACTTTCAATGACTATGGACGTCGGAGATCGTCGCAGCGCGTCGCAGGAGAACTGGTCTGGTTCGGGGAGAGACTCACCAATCGTGGACCTGCCCGAGCTGACCTGCCATGCTCTGCCCCGTCGCTCACCTTGGTTTGCCTCGAGTTCGCCCGTCACCCTCCCCTCGTCGCCTCTCGCCTCACCTCGCCGATTCCTCCCTAACCTTGGCTCGTCTCGAATTCCTCATCCACTGGGTCTCGCGGCACTGCACTCGCCTCGTTCTCGGATTCTCCCGCTTTTTCCGTTCTGGTCGTTCCCTCTCGCCTTGCTTCCGCGTCGCGTTGTGCGTAGACCTCACTCCCAGCCTTCGGCTTTCTTCCTCTCTTTTTTCTCTCTCTATACGTGCTCGCGGCCTTCTCGGTCATTTTCTCTCACTCCATCTCACACTTGTAGGCAGGGGAACTGAGGCAGCCCTCTCGCTGCTTTAGCGTCACCCATTAGCCGATTAATCGACATCGGTAAAGTAGGGCTCTTCATACTTGTAGGGATCTCGCGCCGTCGTTTCCACCCGGATTCCTCAGCGAGCATTGCGTATGTGCCCTTGCTCTGCGCGTGCCCTTTTCCTGCTCACTGATTAATTAATAAACTAATCGACTAACTTCCCTTGCCAGGACTCGGCCTTTCGGACGTCAAGACTCCCATTCTTGGCGCATCCTATTCCTTTGAAAAGGACCTTAGGGGCTGTGAGACAACATTCACTCCTCACCACAGATAACGAAACACTCTGCACGGTGTACTCACCCGCCAACGAAATACCGGCACGGAATACTCACCCGCCATGGCAACAGCCCTCGTGGACCGCGCCGTGGAGCTCGGCGCGCAAATAGGAATCACCCCGACGACGCTCATCTCGCTCGTGTCGCCGCTGCTCTCCATCCCCTGCTGCTTCCTCCTCCGCGGCATCGCGTCGCCCGCGTACCGCCACTTGTGCGCGGCGCTGACGGGGCTACTGCTGGCGCTGTACGCGTTCGGCCCCACCATCTGGGGCCACTACGCCGTGCTCGTCGCCTTCACCTACGCCGCCATGGCGCTGCACCGCCGCCGCTGCGGCTTCATCACGCTCGTCGGCACCTTCGCGTACCTCCTCGCCTGGTGAGTGCCGCCTCAGTCGATTAAGCCCCTCCTTGAGCGGCGAGTAGCGGCGAGTGGCGCCCTGAGTAGCGCCTCCTTCCCACTCCTTCGGGCTTTCGTACCGCTCCCTCCGCTCCCTCCGCTCCCTCCGCCCCCTCCGCTCCCTTCTTACAATGTTCCGCACTTCTCCTCCCCTTCCCCCCCCCCCCCCCTCCCCCCCCGGGCACTCTCCCCCCGTTACAGTCACATTATTTATGCGAGCGGCAAGGCCCGGAAGGACCAGGGAATCGACTTTGCGGGGACGCTCATGATGGTGACGTTGAAGCTGACGTCATCGGCGTTCGACTACCAGGACGGCATGTACCTCGTGGACGCGGACCTCCCCACACCGCAGCGCGGCACGCACCGCCACCTCAAGACGCTACCGTCTGTGTCGCAGTACATGGGTTACATCTTCTGTGGCGGGTTACATCTCACCGGGCCGTTCTTCGAGCTCAGACCGTACCTGGACTGGGCCGAGAACCGAGGAGTACGTTGCTCCGTGATTTCCGGGCCACGTTCGCTTTCCTGTTTCCGTCACAGCCGCTCCTCGCTCCCCTCCCCTCGCTATCCCCATCTTCCCCTCTCTCCTCTCTACCCTCCCCACTACCCTCCCCTCTCTCCTCTTCCTCTCTTCGTTCTTCTCAATCTTGATGTCTTTTCGCTCGCTTTCGCCCGCTCCCCTCCTCTCCCCTGTCGCAGGTGTGGTCGCACGACGCTCGCAAGGCACCCTTCGCGATCCCGCTGCTCGTCGCACTCGCGTGGGCGACAGCCTCGGGCTTTATTCACCTCGTCCTAAAGCCGCAGCTCAACTTACCTCTGGTCACCGACCCGAAGCGCTTCTACGCGATTCCGTACCTCCACCGATGGGGACACGTCATCATCTCGACGTACGCCGTCCGATGCAAGATCTACTTCGTTTGGACGGTTGCCGAGGCGAGCATGATCGCCTCGGGATTAGGGTTCAGCGGGTGGGTTCCCGCCAATAAGGCAGCAGCACCGACGCAAGAATCGGGTAGAAGTAACAGCAGCGAGACTGCCGCCGTGAATGCCGCCGTAAAATCCACCGTGATTACCACGACCGCATGGCAACAGGAACGATCGGTTCTGAGGAAATCCTTAGTTCAGAAGAAAGCTCCGCATGGGGTGCTGGGTGATAGCGTGGCTGGGAATGCGGCGAAGGTGTGCGACGCCGGGAAGCGCGCTGCGAAGAGCCCTCTGCGAAAGAATGGCGGAGTAACCATTGCGAATGACGAGAACGAAGCTCCTGAGTTTGGCTCGAAGAAGAGTTACTCGAACGGATTTCTCACCGCGTGCGAGGAGACCAAGGACGATGTTGCTTTGGCGAAGGAGAACGGGACTGTAACAGCGGCGACGGAGCAGGCGAAGGTCGCAGAAGTCGCACAGGCGCCGCTGGTGGCGTCGTGGGAGCGCGCGAAGAACATCAACATCGCGGGGGTGGAGCTGGCGAAGGCTTTTAACGCGTACGCCAAGAACTGGAACGTCTCTGTCGGGCTGTGGCTAAGAACATGTGAGTAACTGGTGACCACGCGCTCCCACCCTGCTTCTCCCGCATCCTTCTCCTCCCTCTCTTTCGCCCTCCCTCTCTCCTCCTACCCTACAGTTCGGAACGCTCCCTAGTCTCCCCACTCTGCTTCTCCCCACTCTGCCTCTCCACTCCTCCAATGCCTTGCCCCTGTTTGTAGCTGCTGACCCTTCCCCTCATTCTCCCTTCTCTCCTCCCCCCTCCCTCCCCTCCCCGCCCCCCAACCCCCATTCCCCCCCCCAGACATCTACGAGCGCACCATCCCTGTGGGGCAGAAGCCGGGCGTCTTCTCGCTGCTGCTCACCGTTGGCGTCAGCGCCATCTGGCATGTGAGTGACACGTGGCATGGGGGGTGGTTTGCTCAGACGCATTCGCCAGATCACGTGGCACCCGTTTCTTCACTGCACTGCCACCACCACCACCACCACCAGGACATCTTCCTCGGTGCTTCCATGCCCGCATTCTCTCCTCACCTCCTCCCTGCCCCTCCCGTCTCACCTCCTCTGTGCCCGCCTGTCCCTCCCCATGGCACCACCGCCACCCCCACCAGGGCATCTACATTGGTGACTTCATGTTCGCCTTCAGTGGCGCGTTCCTCATCATGGGGTCCAGAGGTACGAGCTCACGGGGACTGGGAGGCATGCCATGACGCCATCGTGCCATCATGCCATCTTGCCATCATGCCATTCTCCGCGCCTTATCTCTCTCATCTAATCTGATAGCTTCAACCCTCTTCCTTCACTCCCCTCCTCCCCTTATGTGCTCCCTGTCTCTGTGCTCCCTGTCTCCTTCCCCTCCATCCCTCCATTCCGACTCCTACCAATATGCTTCATATGCAGTGATCTACCGCTATCAGCGCACCATCCCTCAGTCGCAGCGGGTGTGGGCCACCATAGTGCAGGCGCTGCACTGCCTGTACTCATTCGCCGGACTCAACTACATCGCCATGGGCTTCATCGTGAGTCGCTGGGGGGGCTCTAGTGGGCGCGTGGCGGGGGATGATGTAGTGTGTGTGTGGGGCCACCACGGTGCAGAATCTGCGCGCTGCACTTCCTCTACTCATTCGCCGGACTCAGCTACATCGCCATGGGCTTCATTGCGAGTCAAGGGGGGCCATGGGCTTCATTGTAGTTCGCTGAGGGGTGTGAGTCGGTAGGGGGGCATGGCCGCGTATGTGAGTGTGGCGTTCAAGATCGCATCTTGCATTACCATGCACTCACCATCACCCCCCCCATTCTCCCCGTCCCCATCCCGTCCCCATCCTGTCCCCTATCCCAGGTGCTCACAGCAGAGGACACCCTCACGGTGTACCGGGGGCTCAACTTTGTCGGCAACCTCCTGCCGGTGGTGGTGCTTGGGGGCAGCTGGGCGCTCAGGAGAGTGCACGCCCTGCTCCATGCCACCTCCTCCTCCTCCAAGAAAGCCAGGAGCAGCAGCGCTGTGAGCAGCAGCAAGAGCCAGAGAGTGATCGCAGCTGAGTTGGCGACCAAGCAGCCGGAGCAGCAGGTGGTGCAGCTGCTGCAGCCGGTGATGGTGCATGCTAAGGTGGAGTGAAGCAGAGGAGGCGGCTCCTGCGTCGACTCAAAAGTGGTTTCGGCTGCAGAAGCCGGTTATGCACCTGTGGTGCTTGCTAAGGTGGAGTGAAGAGGAGGAGACGAGTGAGGGAGCTTGTACGGGGTACAGCAGCACTGCCAAGGGGAAGAGATGAGTTGAGCTGAATGCTTGTAGGCGCCATGTCTCTTCACTGGATGGCAGACAGAAAAGGAATCCCCAGATTGCAGAACAGTCACTGCGAGGGTGATTTGCTAACCCGTGATGATGTTGACGGGTCTTGGGACCTCGTCGTGACTAGCACGACTCAGTTCTTAGTGGTAGATAAAAGTTAATTGGCTAAGGTGAAAGCTGATTGGAGTAGAGTAGGTAGTACCTTCAGGTGTAGCATAGCCCCCCACTTGGAAATTACGTAATGGGTGCATGCTTTCTGCACCCCATTTGCTGATTAAATTTTATTGTTTATCCCATCTGATCACACACATCTATGAAGGCATGCAAACAGGTCCACCAAATACCATAAATTCGATGTAAAAATGCTAGAAGGTTGTAAAAAAATTTGTGACAACTAGCAGACATAGTGGCACACCTACTGTACCCCTCCTGAATAACCCCTGAAGATTCAGTGCTCAAGGACCAAGGTAATCCAGACCAGAAGCCCTCCCTCACCCAAGCAGCAGACCAGAGTGCATCATATCGCGCTCACTCAGCCCATCCCCAAGCCCACAGCATGAGGGGTGTGAATGTGAAGCAACTGAAGGCCACCATGGGCTGCAGGGTGCCACGGTGCCGCTGAATGCTGGCCCCCCGCCTTTCATCGCTAGCCCCCCGCCTTTCATCGCTGGCCCCTCGCCTTTCATCGCTGCCCCCCCGCCTCTCATCGCTGGCCCCCGCCTCTCATCGCTTGCCCCCCGCCTTTCATCGCTGGCCCCCCGCCTCTCATCGTTGGCCCCCCGTCTCTCATCGCTGGCCCCTCCTCGCTTCTTCCCCACGTCCACGCCTTCGCTTCCTCCTGGCTCCTTGTGCTCTGCTGCCAGCCGCCTCCTCCTCCCCCTCTTCCCCTACCCCACACCCCTCCCCGTCCTCCTGGTCCCCCCCCTTCACTGTCTCCTCCCCTCCTCTGCCTCCTCCTCTTGAATTTGCTTCCGTCTCCTTTTCGCTTCCCTCCTCTCTTCTCTGCTGCCCCACCTCTCGCCCCCATCATCCCCATCCCACCTGTCACCTGCAGGAGGCATCCAAAAATCACTTTCCTCCTCCTCCTCATCTCCCTCCTCCTCCTCCTCGTCTCCCTCCACCTGCAATTCTCCACTCACCCCTTCCATATTCAACTCCTCTTCCCCTCACTCCCCTCCGCTTCCCCTCCTTCCTCTTCCTCCCTGTCCTCCTCCTCTTGCCTTCTTCGACTCCTTTTCGCTTCTCTTCTTTCTTCCCAGCTGCCCCATCTGTCGCCCCCAGCATCCCCATCCCACCGGTCACCAACAGGAGGCATCCAAAACTCCGCCTCCTTTTCCTCCTCGTCTTCGTCTTCGACATCCTCCACATCCTCCCCTTCTCCTCTCTCCTCCATTGTACCATTTGATTCCTCCCCACCGCCCACCTCTTCTCCCTTACCACCTTCTTCCACCTCCTCCCCTTCCCCCCCTTCCTCTACCTCCTCCCCTTCTTCCACCTCCTCCCCTTCTTCCACCTCCTCCCCTTCTTCCACCTCCTCCCCTTCTTCCACCTCCTCCCCTTCTTCCACCTCCTCCCCTTCTTCCAACTCCTTCTCCTCTCCCCCCGTCTCACCACTGCTGCACTCACCCGGCTCTCTGTCACTCTCTCCATCCTCCTCCTCCTCCATTTCTAGTGGCCCTCTTTCAATCCGACCTCCTTCTCCTCCTTCTCCTTCTCTTCCTTCTCCTCCTTCCCTCCCTGCCTCCTGCAGTCTTGACGCCCCATTCTCCACTGCCTCACGACTCTCCCCTCCATTCTCGCCTGCTCCCTCTCCTCCCCTCTCTCCTCCCCTCTCTCCTCCCCTCTCTCCTCCCCTCTCTCCTCCCCTCTCTCCTCCCCTCTCTCCTCGCTCCTCCACTGCTCTCTCCTCTCCCATCCCCCATTCCTCTCCCCCCCGTCCTTCACCCGCATTCCCCCCCACCCCATCTCCGCCGTTCACTGACTGACTGGCTGCCTGCCTCTCTGCCCTCTTAGCTGCCCTCCTTGCTGCCACCTCCTCCTCCTTCTTGGCTGCTCCGCAAGACAAACAACAAACAGCAAGACAAACAACAAACAGCAAGACAAACAACATACAGGAGGAAGGGGGGAGAGGAGAGTGGACGTTGGGACACCTGTTATCATCACAAGCTGAAACAACAGTATTTGCACACGAGAGAGGCGGACACGGAGGGAGGCGGACAGGGAGAGAGGCGAACAGGGAGGGAGGCAGACAGGGAGGGAGGCTGACAGGGAGGGAGGCTGACAGGGAGGGAGGCGGACGGACGAGATGCTCCGAGACGAAACGATGATGATGTGGATGATGATTAAAAAGACTTCACAACCATCTACATGAGCACAAACGAAACCACAGATGGGCGTCTTTTAAAAAAATCAAAGAAAGCACCTGTGGGGTTTGAGACGCACCAAGGCACTTTTGGAACTTGTGGCCCATCATGTGCTTCCATACCGCGTCCTCCGACTTCTGCATTAGCTTGTTGGTCAGCGTGCAGAACAGCTTGTTGCTGCCAGGGACGAAGGAAAGGGGTTTGAGGTTTCTCTTAGATTGTGTGTGTAAGGGGGGTGTGCGGGCACATGTGTGCGCGGAGGGGGGTGTGCGGGCACATGTGTGCGCGGAGGGGGGTGTGCGGGCACATGTGTGCGCGGAGGGGGGTGTGCGGGCACATGTGTGCGCGGAGGGGGGTGTGCGGGGACATGTGTGCGCGGAGGGGGGTGTGCGGGCACATGTGTGCGCGCGAGAGCGGGGAGACGAAGCGGGGAAGGGGAATGCGCGGGGAGATGAGTGAGTGCGAGAGAGGCGAGAAGAAGGGGTGGGGTGGGGTGACGTGGGGTGGGGGGGATGCGCGGCACACGTGTGAGTGATCAACCGCTAAACCCTCGTCTCATATGATCACTATAGCGGATATGCTACTATCGGAGGCGCTTAGAATCTCACGGATTATCCGACGACTGAATAATGTGCGGCTCGAACTTCTTCAGAGCGCGCGACGCGGAAGCCTTGGCGAATACTCTGCTTGCCACGTGGCGCTTCAGGGATTCGTGGTTCGGAAGGAACTCGTGACCTGTCAGCGCGCACCGCAAGCGGCCCGTGTGAGTCCACGTCAGATGCTCCTTGTGCGTCTTAAACAGCGCGCGAAACGCGGGATCGGCAGGTTCGGCTGGGACCCTTTCATCCAGGCTCGGATCTCCCATGTCCCCTCCCTCTTGCTTCTGCGCTTGCCCCGCATACCCCGCTTCCCGCCCTCCGCCGTCCGCTTGCGCCATCGAATTGCGGTCGCGCGGTAAGCGCGGAGAGGAGAGGAGCGCGGACGAGGAGGAAGAGCGCAAGAGAGGGTGTGAGGTAATGATGCGGAGGACCACACTACAGAAGGCTTGTACTCAAGTTGGCCAGGAATCGTCAAACCCACAAACATAGGGAGGATCCTATCCTCATCATGAAGAACTGGACTTCACCATATGGTTCGCCAGTGTACGCCACATTCTCTTGTCTATTTGTCATAATGATTTTTTGAAGCTCATTACGAGAGCCCACACCTTCAATGTTTTCTTGAATGGACAACCAGTGGTATGTCAACTGGACAAGAATCCCCTTGCACACCATCATTGGAACTCACTCATCGCACTGAGTCTGAAACCCATGGCATCACATTGATTATATTTAATTGGACAACAAAGCACAAGTTGCAACCTGTACAAAAGACACCCCTACAAAGCCTACTCCTGTTGCTGCTTTCTCTTAAGCTCGACCAAAATAGTCTAGCTGCTCTTTACTGCGCCTGGACTGGAAGCATGCCAGCCCAATCCTGTGGAAGCCAGGCAGACTTCTAGAGATTTGACACCTTTGATGCATCCTCCATGCCCTAGCTGACCAGGACGACCAGCGCTCAAGAGGAGCAGCTGCTGACGGCAGCTGGATATGTTATGTACCATCCACTGGGGGAAGTCCCCAATGCCTAGTTGGGAAAGCCAGCCCTCAAGCTTGCCGCTCAATGTGCCTGCCAGTCCCATGATCCCATCCCCCCCCCCTATGCACCCTCCCCCAACACACCCGTTCCCGGGTGCATGGGTGTGGTGTGGTGGACGACACCCCGATGCCATGTGCTGAAACCAAGCACCAATGCCATGTGGTGTGGTCCCCGTGTCAAGCAACCCATTTGACACGACCCCGTGTGTCCCGCAGCACGACCCCACGTGTCCAGCAGCACAGGCTCCACGGCCCCACGTTACACAATGGGCACGTTGACGACTTCTGTTTCGGACTGCATGCCGGCCCACGTGGCGTCCACGTCCTGCCGCGCCTCGAGCGCCGTGTGGCCCGAGGCGAGCGTCATGGGGTTGCTGGCCTCGACGCGCAGCTGCCCCGCCGACCGCTGCTGCGTCTCCGCCACCAGCTCGCGCAGCGCGCCCAGCGCCACGTCGTACCCACGCATCACGTTCCTGCATGGCGGAACGGCAAGGAGGGGGAGAGTGCGCCCAGGGTGGCGGGAGGGGGAAGAGGGGGTGTGGGGAGCGAAAGGAGATTAATAAGGCGACCAGACATTCAGCTACACATGAGGTGAACTCCAACATAATCGACGACAGAAGTCAAGACCTTGCTGACCAAGGCACGTGCTTCAGGCAGACGCGCAGCCAGACGGGAACTCGAGAGGCCATCCATCGGTACCTGATGGTGTGGTTGAGCACGCGAGCGACCCAGACGCGGAAGAGCAGCTCTTCCCAGTCGGCGTCGCCCTTCTCGAAGTGGTCAAGGAAGCGGATGTACGCGCCCACCCACGCCTCCTCGTCGCAGAACGACCACGTCGGCCACTCCGTGGCCATGATCAGCCCCTGTGCGCGCGCGGAAACAGAAAGAATGGGGGAATTGAGGTGAGTAAAAAGGAGCGGAGCAGGCTGTGGAGTGACGTTTGAGATACCAAAGAAAGAAGTAGCTAGGGCGTAGTAGTACCTTAGCAAGAGCGGGGTCGAAGTATTGGTGCAGGAGGTCCTTGGCGCGCGGCGAGAGCGGCTCCTTGAGCAACTTGAGCGTCTTCTCCACGTCGTACCCCACCTTCGACCGCACCGCCTCGGGCACAGGCCGCGCGAATTCCACCCGGTGAATCACCGCGTTGCGCTCGTCGTTCAGGCTCTCGGATTTCAACGACTGCAGGAAAGCAGGGCAGGGGTAACCAAAGAAACCGCAGAACGGAAGAAAATGAGTCGCTATTCCAGCCCAAGAGCTGCGGCTGAGAACCTTAGCCTAACAGAAATAAAAATACGGTTGCAGGAGCTTCGCCGAGCCTCCTGGCGACGCACCTGAATGGCGGAGAAGCACTCGATGAGCATGGTGCGGAGGTCGCGGAGCCCGCCGTACAGCGCGTGCATCTTGCCCTCGGGGATGTACACCTCCGCCAGCCGCAGCCCCGCCTGCGCCGTCACGAACGTGTACAGCGTGTCGATGCCCCAGTCGCTCTGCGTGCGCACGCGGTGGTCTGCCACCAGCACCTCCGCGGCCTTCCGCGTCAGCAGCAGCTCGCCGCCCAGCGGCTGCTCGATGTGCGGCAGCACGGAATTCGGCCAGAGCAGCGCGAACCCGATCTTGGTGACGAGCCACGTGATCATGGCGTCGGTGGAGGAGCGCGGGAAGTAGTGCCGCACGATATCGAAGTTCAAATCCGCCTGCTTCTCGGCCTTGGAGATCCATTCCCCCGAGAAGGAGGTGATATCCGCGTCGTAGAAGTGCAGCCGCTCAAACTCGCGGTGCTCCACAAAGAATTGCAGCGCCGTGTTCATGCCGTCGCCCTTCCCGCCGCGCAGGTTCAGGCCTATCCGCCGCTGGAGGCGCAGAATCACGCGCTTGCCGGTGCGCTTCTCGATGCCTGGCGCCGCGGTCTCGATGGCGTGCCACGTCTCGCCCTTGGAGAAGCCGACGCCGAGCACGGCGGAGACGGACGGGTGGGACGCTGCGAGCTCGACGTTGCGAACCGCGACGGTGACGTCCTCCTCCTTGAACGGGAAGCACACCAGGGAGGCCATCTTGGAAAGAGTAATTTGGCTTGGGTTAGGGCTGGCGAGCTGGTCCGGAATTCAAATAGGCAAAGCTACCGCTGAAGCTCCCGAGCGGCGTTCTAGCTGGTGGGTGTTCTGGGGGAACGAAAGAACGCTAGAGAAGCAAAATGCTGGAGGAACTAATTTGACCATTAAGGCAAACCGTGTCCTCAAATATACTCCTAGCCTGGCCTGACCGAGAAAGGGGGAGAGGGCGGGGCAAGCGGGCGGAGGGGGAGGGAGGCGAATGGAAGAGAGGGAGGGGAGGGGAGGTGCTCAGGGAAGGCTCTGCTGTGCTGCTCTCGCCTGGTTTCAAGCTCCAACCTTCCAGAAGCCTGGTCTGGAAGGCTTTGGCGGCCGGCGAATTGCGCGCGCGCCTCTACATCACCAAGAAGAACTGGGGATGGTCGAGGACGCGACCAGGGAATCCCTATCAAAAGTTCACACGTGGCGGGGCTCAATGTGTAAAAACTCCTGGTCAAGATTGAAATAGACTACAAAACAGGGAGGTTTTGAATACATTTTCAAACTGGTGGGTTATATTAGACATTCACTGAAGCTTTCGGGCAGCTTTCTGGCAGAAGAAAACCGACATCCAGATCGGCGACCAACGAGCTTGCCTAGGTGTTATCCTCTCATTTGCTGAAATAGCACATGCCACATAAGGTTCCAGACAAGGGAATCCAGCTGCATGTCGACCATTCGCCAGAATTTCCACCTGGAGTCTTGTAAGCGCTCCTCATCCACTCACAGAGCTTCGTGACAGCTTTGCTGGATAGCCACAATATAAATCGAACGCGAGTCGCACCAATTTCCCCTGTGAGCCGTTGGATGCCCGAAGATCATCGATCGAACGCTGCTGCTCGGTTCGGACCTAGGATACAGGAGAAGTTGGCGTATGAAGTGCTCCACATAACCCTTCAGACGAGGTTGAGACATCACACAATCCCGCAGAAGCCTACCACGTGCGAGTGAGAAGAGGAGGCGAAGATTTCAGTGCAAATGGAATGTATGATTTCGCATTTGAAGGGAATGTAAGCAGGCAACAAGCCATAAACATGTTGGCCGTAAAAGGTGAGAGTGCAATAAAGCTAACAGGCTCTCCATAACGGAGATCGCATGCCAAACTTTTGAAGTGAAGTGAAGCAAGTGCCAAACTTTTGGCTGCACTGCACCGGGCGCTAGCGTGGCAAACCGAACCGAACCCGAACCAGCCCACCCAAGCACTTGTTGACGATATGACGCAGCAGAAGCACTGGTAACACATTTGTCGTCACCGAGTCGCGCCTGCCTGTGCACCAGCCCCGGTTTTCCCTCCAAAACTCTGACACCATTGTCTAAGCATTCCATTGTCAATGGAAGAATCAAGGGAAATTATACGCTGGTTAACTCTTACTCTTCGATTTCCAGATTTAGTCACTCTTTTCTCATCTCAGTCAATGTTTTATCGAATCGAAATCAGCAGCTATTGGGCTGAGAAAAAGCCCTTAGGATCTTTTGCAGAGACTAAGTCCCAGCTGTAGAGACTTTGAGACTTTGAATAGTGCAGCGGAAGTTGAGGTAGTTGAACCCTTGTACTAGTATGTGAGAACAAGTGATTGATTAAAGAAACAAGCATACAGCAATATATAGAAGATAGGAAGGCAGTTGTAGAATACAGTTACAGGAACGGTTTATCGAGTCGCACAGCGACTCGATTGCCGCTTCGGTTACCATCCGTGATGTTGTAACGGTCAGTCGCAACCTCCAGTTGCGACCTTTCGAGTCTTTTCGCATTCTTTGTCCGCCCCCTCGTGTAACTTCCGTTGACTCGCGTGCTCCCCTGTAATCTTCCTCGAGTACAGTGTTACCACTTCAGAAACGCTCAAGTCCTTTTGAGATATTTCCAACACTCCCCTTCGTTTCTGGAGTGCTGGAATGTTCAGATCCGGTGACGTTTGTTTGCCCGGTCAGGAGCATGCAGTAGTCGAATTTTGCTTTCGCCAATTTCTTCGTCAGATAATCTGCGGCCATTTCTGTCGTTGGGCAGTAACTGAGTTGAAGTCTCCCCTTCGCGATTTCATCCTTGACGAAGAAGTACCGCAGGGCGATGTGCTTGGTTCGGTTGGCGAAGCCGTCCTTGTTCGCGATTTTGATCGCAGATTGGTTGTCGCAGAGGAGTGAGAAGGCGGGCAGGGTCGCAATCTTCGCTTCCTCGAGTAACTCCCGTAGGTAGAGTCCTTCCTTGGTCGCAGTACAAAGGGCGATATACTCTGCTTCAGCCGAGGATAGTGCGATTAACTCCTGCTTGCTCGACTGCCAGGAGATAGTTCCGATGGGTTCTAGTCGGTAGATATAGCCCGTCCTAGATCGTCGATTTTCCCTATCTCCCGCGTGGTCGGCATCGACGTATCCGAGTAGTCGTACGGACGGTGTTGTCGCTTTGCT